CGTGTCTGTTTTACCACAGTTGGCATGACGACAAGAAATGTGGATGCTTCTGGCTAATTATGGGTTAGCATAGCCGAGGGGCCATGGATAACAGCACGGTCAGCACTAGATCATACACGGAATCGGGACAGAAGCAGACGTAAATACAACAAACTACCTATTAATGCCTAAACTTAACCAGCCATCCCCATAAAATAACCCCAACCCGCCTTAACCCTAACCTTAACCATCTTATCAGACGCCTAAAAACTTAACCAGTCACCACTTAAGGACTTAATTAGTCCTAAAACTAATTCAAAAGTAGAATTATTACTTCCGGTTCGTCCCGATTCCGTTTATGATCTAGTGGACCATAAACAGCACAGAGACCGCAAATAGCACCCGGCCTGGTTTTCTTCTCTCTGGCCATGGCTGAAGTGGTCTGTGGAGGTTAAAGTGACCAAGATAATCTGATACTGTGCCCGTGTTACTTAATGTTTCCCGAGGCCAAATACTGAAAGAGACTTCAAACTCACATGGACCAGTTATTTCCAGACACACAAAGCTTTGAAGTCAATTTCTAGTAATACAGGTTCTTTTTTTGTTTTTTCTTTTTTCAGTTTTTGTGTGTGTGTGTGTTTTGTGTGTGTGTGTGTGTGTGTGTGTGTATGCGATGACCCATGCTGTCTTTCACTGTGAGTGTCACCGATCCAAAATGTGTTCAGATTGAAGATGGATGTGGATGGGGATCAAAAACCGGTAAAGTTGGAGCGTTTCCTTCCAACTTTGTCAAAGAGATTATTGTTAAAGGTGTGTGTGCAGCAGATTCCAACACATGCTGAACAAAAACACACACAATTCTAAGCTGTCAATCAATCATTTATGTCACAGACGCAAAAGACGAATGAGGGGAAAATCCAGACCCAAACTCTCCAACCTGTTTTTACCAAAGGGGTGAGTCAAAGAGCATGAAAGTACCTATACTCTTTGGGTAAGGCCGTTTCACAGAGTATAGAAATTCTCTCTCGCTTCATTAATTTTGTATATATAAATAAACACATTTATTTTTTTCTTTGTTACAGAATTCAAAACAAACCAGTGTTCGAAGAAAGTTAAAAGCGGTATGTTTTTATTTTATTTAACACAACAGAGAACACAGAGCATAAGTCTCGTCCAATTATGTTTATAGTTATTTTTGCTGACGCTATATGATTTTTCTCCTAATATTATCCAAATTTTATTTAGTCAAAAATATGATAATAAAACTTGAATTAGACATGAGAGTTGATCCTTTAAATTGTATTAGAGTGATCCATGAGATGCTATGAGATTAAGTTTGCAAAATTATCAGAAAAAAAATTGAATAAATTATTAGATAAATCTTTCACTAAATGATGAGGGTTTATATTTGATATATTATGAGATTAATCTTGTAAATTGAAGAGTAATACATTTTAAAAATATTATTACAATAATATGATATATTTTATGAGAAATTAACTTGAATTAATGAATGACTTAATACTTTATTTCCGAGCCCATGGCAAACAAGAACAAAGAACAACAAAACAACAAAAGAATGGAAAACAAAAACAATAAATGAAAATATATCAAATAATACCGTTTTGTTTTATTATTGACATTTTATGAAATTATTGTATTCAATTATTGTGTTAAGTTACTGACTTCAATTTGATAATTTTGACCACATAGGCATCAATTAATGGTGTGATGTATAATTCTGCTGATATGATAAATAAATTCTGATAAATAGTATTTAAAGGAAAAAGACATACAGTTTTTGGCAGGGCTTACACAACTCCAATACATTTTGGGGAGAAAACACACTATATTTTTATTTTCATATGAGCTTGTAGTCAATAAAATCAGAGTCGTGTCTGCACATGTCTCTACTGCACAAAAAAGTAAAAAAAATATTCCGTATGTAAGATTTTATTAAACGCTGGTTTCGTGTGTCAGAGCACTTCCTGCCACTTACAAATCTCCTTTAAGGTTTCCAAGTCGCAGCCACCGCTCTGTAGTTTCAGAGCTGGATCATTATCCATGTTAGCAGACACCTGTTTCCAGGACAACCTGCTCCTGATACACAGCCGAATATATCTTTGTAAAGCACATTTAACAAACAGCCTCCGGTGGAATCCAAAGGGACACACTTAAAAAAAAAAAATAATTAAATAATTTTTTAACAACACCATATTTTAAGAAATCCAGTTCTGCTTTTTTTATATTTTAACATCCTCCCCTTTTTTTTTAGATATATATCATTCTCGCACTTATTTTAACTGTAACTTCAGCCATCCGAAAAATAAGCATCCGTTAGCATAGTTTTATTTATACTCTGGGCACAATTAGTGCACACCTTGTATATGAATGTTCTCTTAATGTGTGTTGTCCCAATATAAATAAAATAAATATAAAACAAATCATAAATAAAAAAATACATAAAAAAAAAAACATGATGATACACTGTAATAAGTAAATAGTTCCTTAATGTGGAACAAAGTAATGTGATGGTATTATTTATTTGATTTATTTAAGTGGAGTTCTGCAAAGTGAAGATTGATTACGTCCCGAAAGGCTGAGGATGAACTGGAGCTGAAGAAAGGAGTCACGTGGGTCTGGTCCTCCGTAAAGTAAGGACTGTTTTTCACCATCTATGCTTTTTTATTTGGTATTACTCTGAGAGAGAGAGAGAGAGAGGGAGAGAGATGGGGGAAGAGGTGAGAGAAGGAGAAGGAGGGAGAGGGAGAGGGGGGGGAAGAGAGAGGGGAGAGAGAGAAAGGGGGGGGCGGGGTGTGGTGGGGGGGGGGGGAGGAAGGGGGGGAATAGGGGCAGTGAGAGAGAGAGAGAGAGAGAGAATAGAAGAGGGGGGCAGGGAGAGAGAGGGAGGGAGGGAGATAGAGAGAGAGAGGGAGGGAGAGAGGGAGAGGGAGGGTAGAGAAACAGCAGAGAGAGAGAGAAAACGGGAGAGAAGTAGAGGCGGTGAACATCGAAATGAAAACAATAACAAATTAGGGACCGTAAATAATTATAAATCCACTATCTCTGAACGACCATTTTTATTACTGCCTTTTGACAGAAGAGGCCCTTTATGAGGAAAACAATAGGGCCCTTTAAATGATGACCATATTAAGGGCCCTTTAATGATGAAAAGATTATGGCCCTTATAATGATGACAGATTAGGGGCCCTTTAATGATGACAGATTTAGGCCATCTTTAATGATAAAAGATGAGGGCCCTTTAATGATAACAATTAGGGCCCCATTAATAGATGATCAGATTAGGGCCCTTTACTGATGACAGATTAGGGCCCTTTAAGTGACAACAGATAAGGGCCTTTAATGAGACAGATTAGGGCCCTTTAATGACGACAGATTAGGGCCCTTTAATGATGACAGATTAGGGCCCCTTTAAATGATGACAGATTAAGGGCCCTTTAATGAATAACAGATTAGGGGCCCTTTATTGAGGACAGATTAGGGCCCTTTAATGATAACAGCTTAGGGACCCTTTAATGCACGACAGGGATTAGGGCCCTTTAATAGATGGACCGATTAGGGCCCTTTAATGACGACAGATTGGGCCCTATAATGATGACAGAGTTAGGGCCTTAAATGTGACAAGATTAGGCACTTTACTGATGACAGATTAGGGCCTTTAATGAGGACAGATTTGGTCCCTTTAATGCTAACAGCTTAGGGCCCCTATGATGACGACAGTTTAGGTGCCCTTTAATGATGACAGAATAGGGCCTTTAATGACGACAGATTAGGGCCCTTTAATGATGACAGATTGGGCCCTTAGATGATGACAGATTAGAGCCCTTTAATGATGGACAGATCGGCCCGTTAATGATGACAGATTAGGTCCCTTTAATGATAACTGATGAGGGCCCTTGAATGACGACAGATTAGGGCCCTTTAATGATGACAGATTTAGGGCCCTTTTAATGGATTGACAGAGTAGAGGGCCCTTTAATGATGACAGACTGGCCTTAAATGATGGACAGTTTAGGGCCTTTAATGATGAACAGATTAGGGGCCCATTTAATGATGACAGATTAGGGCCCGTTAACTGATGATTTAACCATGGAAAACAGTTTTAAAATCTACTACAGTGCCAGTGTTGTTTTATGATAGTGTTGATGGGAGTCAGAGTTCCAGTTGAACAAACACGACTTGGAGGCCCATAATCACTGAGAGTGTTTCTGTAAATGTGGGGTGTGTTGTTATATGTGTAGCAGTTGTGGTTGACTCATATCAACAACAACTCCCACAGAAACCACTTTGTGCACTGAACAAACACAATGACAAATATAGGTGTGAGAGTTACTGTACGTACTCGGGCTTATCATAGAACTTTATACTTTATACATATTTGCACTGAAGCTTTGTGACATCCTCTCCTGTTCTGTTTTTTTTATTTGTATTTTCTGAGTTTATAATAATTTTGTTTTATTGTGCTGTGTTTTCTGAAGAAGGCCCTTGCGTAGCATAGCCTGAACATCAAAACATTAAAGAATAGTTTGGAGAATGCGACAGTAAAGTAATCTGTTACTGGTCCGATCCAAATATCAAGAAATTGAAGCCGGAGCCAGACGAATGTTTAGCAAATGTCATTGCTGGAAAGATGTTGTGGCGCTACTCCCCCACGGGCTCTGCTAGTGGCAAAGGAGATGGCTAAAGCTAGGGCTAAATGCTAAATGCTAACGACTCACTTGGGCTCATTACATACGTCACGGTAAACTCAGATCCAATCGTTTCAAATCTGGCAAATAGAGTTAAAACCCCTCCCACCTAGAACCAGAGTCAATGGAGCATATTCAGACAGACCTTAGTACGAAGTGAAATGAGTACTATGGTGGTGTTAAGACCAGGCTAATACTCACCATTTTGTGTCTTCTTTTTGCCTGTTTTTGTCTAAAGGAAACAGAGGATGAGGGCTGGTGGCAGGGGGAGCTGAACGGTACGCTTGTGGTTTCTTTCCTGATAACTTTGTGATGTCCATTCCGCCCGGCAGCAGCACACAAGTGAGTCCAGACTGTGCCGACGTTAGGCCGCGACCCAGAACAACCACATACATTAGTCACACGCATTAGGTGAAGCGCTGGGTGTGTTTTCCGGGCTTTTTCAAATCATTTACCGTGTGTAGAAGGAGTGACTCGATATTATACTCAGTTTTTATTGTGGAGTGACATGTTCCCGGAAAAATTGATTATTGTTTTAAAAGTGAATTTTATTTCTGTGATTTGATCATAGACTGTATAATGACTTAAAATGTGAAATTCAGGAGGAGATCGACACATAAATAATAGATTTTCCCTTTCTTTCATTAAGTTTTGCCTGTAAACTTACTTTAACTTTACTTGTTTATATTTATCAAAATAAACAAATAAACAAAATAAATAAAATAAATAAAATAAATAAAATAAAATAAAATAAATAACATTAAATTAAAACAATGAATACAAATAATAAAAAAATAATATTATCAAATAAAATAAAATATATAAATGAATAAATAACTCATAACAAAGTGACATATGTCTTTTTATGATTTGAATGATTATGGATTATTGCCTATTCTCATTTCTAGTAAATTGTACATTTCTCCATTGTGAGATCAATAAAGTTTATATTTTTCTTATCTTATCTTAGTCTTGTACTGTTTGTAAGGGAGCCGTGAGTGCCCAGAAAGGCTTCATATGAATAAAAAAGTATTATTATTATTATCATTATTACTATCCTTATGAACTGTATCATTCCAAGATGTTTTATTTAGGGATATTTTACAAACTGTGAGCGAATTATCAACATTATAAGAATTACAGGAGTCAATGGACTTTTTTAACAAATACATAATTTGCCTGTTTTTTTTTGTTTTGTTAGTTTTGTTTGTTTGCATTTTGGCTGTACACATTTTAACCTGTCTCTCTCTTTTCAGACTGGGATGAGTAAACCTCCGACACGTGGAAACACCATAAAAGGTAAACAATTACTTTATCTTGAAACTGTGGTACCAAAAGTTTGTGTTTCATAAATAAGTCAGACCACAACATGCCGTCTTCACCTTCATAAAAACACATTCTCTTTGGCAACCTTATAAGAAAGAGCCCTGGGAGTCACTTAAAGAGCGACTAAACACCAAATCAACTTTTTTTAACTCATAAACTGTATAAGTATGTTTATTGTAGTGCTGTCTACATATCCTGGTCATTTTTTTGACATTTTAGTTCAAATTAGATAAAATATCACTTTTGAGCCAAAAAACGCCTGTGTGGCGCCCTCTCTACCTTTTTGGTGGTACTACATTTGAATTTGGTCCTGGCCTCTCCATTGACTCTGAAGTTCTCTATGACATCAGTTGTTTTGTGTGACGTCAGTCTGTCAGAGCCAGTGATATGAACCCATTCATCTCTCACACACGCCCCAGCTGCAGTTGAGTATTCTGGCGCCATCTAGTGGATTAAAATTAAATTACATGAGTCATTCTGAGATTATTGAGTGTGATTAGGTTCAGGTGTGTAGCTTTACATTATCTTAGTGTGTAAACAAGGGTGGAATGAGACTTTCTGGTCTGTAAACTATTGCTTTAAGCAGCAATGACAACTGTCTGTTTTTTTTGTGTGACAAGTGAGCTGTCAATCACAGCCCAGACCACGCCCAACTCTAAGCCCCCCTTCTTGCCCCTTAGTCCTCCAGGCAACGCCCTTTTTAGAGAACATTTTCAAATCTTCATGTGGGCGGAGTAAGGCTGGGCACAGGTGTTTAGTCGCTCTTTAATGAAGTTTTGAGCTGAAAGCTGATTGGCTGAGAGAGGGTGGTCCTTTCTTCTGAACTTTTCTGTCTGAAAAATATGATGTAAAGAGGCCAATATTATATGTGTGTGTTTGTGTATGTGTGTGTGTGCGTATGTGTGCGTGTGTGTTTGTATGTGTCCGTGTTTGTGTGTGTGTGTGAATGTGTACGTGTTTGTGCTTGTATATGTGTGTAGGTGTGTGCGTATGCGTGTGTCGGTGTTTGTGTGTGTGTGTGCGTTTGTTTGTGGTTTGTGTGCGTATGTGTGTGTGTGTTTGTATGTGTTTGTGTATGTATGCATGTATGTGTGTGTGTGTGTGCGTGTTTGTGGTTTGTGTGCGTATGTGTGTGTGCGTGCGTATAAGTGTGCGTGTATGCATGTAGGTGTGTGTGTGTGTGTTTGTGGTTTGTGTGCGTATGTGTGTACATGTGTGTGATGGAACCGACCTATTTTGAGACAGTTACACAGAATTTCATAGAATGTAGCGTGGAAGTTAGGTACCCCAGCTTTACTGACCATCTTTTCTGGTCTGAATGAGGTCTGACTCCAGTGTATCTTTACTTTTTAGCATTTACCCAAATATGGCAAAATATTAATGGTTTCCAAACAAATTATTATTATTATTCATCTTTATTTCAGACTCAAATGAAATTGGTCCATATTTAAAAATAAAGAAATGAAGGGAGGCAAATGGATTAAAGGGTAGCAAATGGATGGATGGACATGAAGGGGGTTCCCAGACTTAGGCACCCTCAAGATCACACATTTAAATCCCAACCTCCAGTGTTAAAATAGCAATTTGAAACAAGAAAACATCCATCAGATTAGGATTGGGATTAGGGCTAGTCAGTCAGGTATTCATTAAACCTTTCACTGTCTTGTGTCGTGCCCCGATCCCCACTTTGAGAACCCTTGTGCTTTTGGGCCAAGCGTCTCTCCAGGTCGAGGCTCACAGGAAGTCTGCAGTTAGTGTCACATGGCAAGGTTTAGACTCAGAGGAAACACGGGGGCGGGTCCGGGGCAACATGTAGCCGCAGATTTACTCCAGAAGCAGATAGTTCTTCGAGACGTTTTCTGGAGAAATGTTGCACAATGCTTTTCATCTTCAAGGTAGGCTTCCGTGTTCTGAGTCCGTGTTCTGAGTCCGTGTTCTGAGTCCATGTTCTTCTTCCCATCTGACCTCTACAACACATTTATCTTGAGAATATTCATCAATGATTTGTGTTAAAATCGTGTGGTTTTGTCGAGTAAATGTGACTATATTTTGTCGCAAAATTATATAGAGTTACAGTTATATGCAGTGGCTGTGGCATTGGATATGGCCCTCTGCCTTTCTAACCTAAAGCACTCTCTGAAATCATGAACATAGAGTCACAGTGTCATCCAGCCAACTTCAGCCCAGTCAATACACTTCAAAAATGACAACATATAAGGTCAGAATTGCTTAAATCAAGTGGTTTTGATCTTAATTTGAGCGCATTCTTATTTTCCAATGTTGCAAAGCCATGTAGTGCTATGGTCTTTTTTGCTCTGTTAAAGCTCATTTTAAAGCCCAAAACAACCCAGTCTTGTCAAAACAGTTTTATCAATCTGTGTCGTCGGCCTCTGGAGAAGATAAACTTTTATGTCTGAAAAAGCTGATCTAAACATGTGCCACACTGCAAAAAAATGATTCAATCCGAGGTAAATTACTAAATTGCTTTTTTTTATCTTACCTTGAGCACATTCTGACTGTCTTAAAACAAGAATCTCCACTGGGACAAAGCCATTTAGTCTTAATTCAAGAACTATTGCTTTATTTTTCTCATTCCAAGGGAGACATTTCTTGTGTCTTGTTTTAAGGGAGTCAAAATGTGCTCAAATTTAGAAACATTTTGCCAATTTTGTGCAATTTCTAGCTTGTTTTTCATCAGTTTTTGCAGTGCATAGGCCAATATTACACGTGTGTTTGTGAAAATCATGGAACTAACCTGATTTGAGATCGAGGAACTAGCTCTCAAATCAGCTATAATGATTAGCAGAACTTTTGATTCCATTTATTGTGGGTCAAAAGTTAGATACCCCAACTGAAGTAGCGCTCTTACTAATATGTTTGGAAACCTCTGAGATACAAGATTGTGTGCTGTGACAGTTGCAGTAGATGTTTTTCTCTGAACTCTCCGACAAAGGTTCTTATCACTGAACACACCGCACCTGCCAAATGTGCTTTTATATCTGTAACTCACCACTTTGCAAAAACACATGCAGCCGTTTGGAAGTGATACATGAGTAGTACAGGAACATGGCTCATGAAGTTGAAGTCAGAAAATAACATACATTAATATTGTTACATTAAACTTGTAATTTTTCAAGTTTAGGCTAATATTTGGACTAAATTAATGTTGATAATGTGAGAAAAATCTACGTCTGAAGAATGATATGGCTCACTCGGCGCTAAACTGTACAATCAATCTAACAACTCCAGGGCTCCAGGGTTAGATCCAGGGTTAGATCCAGGGTTAGATCCAGGGTTAGCTCCAGGGTTAGATCCAGGGTTAGATCCAGGGTTAGATCCAGGGTTAGATCCAGGGTTGGATCCAGGGTTAGCTCCAGGGTTAGATCCAGGGTTAGCTCCAGGGTTAGATCCAGGGTTAGATCCAGGGTTAGATCCAGGGTTAGATCCGGGGTTAGCTCCAGGGTTAGATCCAGGGTTAGCTCCAGGGTTAGATCCAGGGTTGGATCCAGGGTTAGCTCCAGGGTTAGATCCAGGGTTAGATCCGGGGTTAGCTCCAGGGTTAGATCCAGGGTTAGCTCCAGGGTTAGATCCAGGGTTAGATCCAGGGTTAGATCCAGGGTTAGATCCAGGGTTAGATCCAGGGTTGGATCCAGGGTTAGCTTCAGGGTTAGCTCCAGGGTTAGATCCAGGGTTAGCTCCAGGGTTAGATCCAGGGTTAGATCCAGGGTTAGATCCAGGGTTAGATCCAGGGTTAGCTCCAGGGTTAGATCCAGGGTTAGATCCAGGGTTAGCTCCAGGGTTGGATCCAGGGTTAACTCCAGGGTTGGATCCAGGGTTAGCTCCAGGGTTAGCTCCAGGGTCCAACGATCTGGTTTCATCTTTAATGTACTCCCATACCCTTGGTTTCACTTCCTTATTCTGCTAAAGTTAGAGATTTCATGATATTTAAGGATAAAGGTATTGTTCATTAATCTTGTGCTGTGTGCTGCTCATTCCTACTGCTCTGTACCCGGTGATGCAACACTGAAATTCCCCACTTTGGGACGAGGAAAGGATCTCCCAATCTTAACCTATGCAGAAATATACACGTATGCTTGTATTGGAAGTAATGCCACCTCTGTATTGTTATTTCAGTGAAGCCTGAAGCTCCAGCCATGGATAAAGTGGCCGCAGCAAAACCAAAAGGTAAATCCTATACTCACGAGTTTTAGACTGAAAACTTCAATGAACATGAACTGGAACTAAAATGTTTTTTTTTTTTCAGACGACAGAACGGAACCCAAAGATTTGAGAAGTAATCCTCCGACCAAAGTCAAGCTGCCGTCCATGTCTCGCTCTCCGGCCGTCAGAGACAAACCCAGCTCCAAACTCTCCCCAAAGTGAGTGACGCCTGAAGTCTGTGCAGTCGCCTCAACTTCTCTGGGACTTTATTTATGGATATTTTTGCCCTGATGCTTAATTATCCATCTATAATTCTCTCTATCTATATTTCCATCCATCCATCCTTCCATCCTTCATTCCATCCATCCATCCATCTATCCATCCCTCCATCCATCCATTCATCCACATTCCATCATCATCCATCCATCCATCCATCCCTCCCTCCATCCATCCCTCCATCCATCCATCTCCATCCGCATCCATCATCCGATCATCCATCCTCCATTCATCCATCATTCCATCCTCCGTTCATCCCTTCCATCCATTCCATCACCTTCCATTCCATTCATCCATTCATCATCCATCCATCCATCCATCACCTCCATCCATCCCTCCATCCATCCCATCCTTCCATCCATCCTCCATCCATCCCCCATCCATCCATCCTTCCATCCATCCATCCATCTCCATCCATCCTTCCATCCATCCATCCTTCCATCCATTGCTCCATCCATCCCTTCTTCCATCCATCCCACCTTCCATCCATCCATCCATCCTTCCATCCATCCATCCATCCATCCATCCATCCATCCATCCATCCATCCATCCATCCATCCCACCTTCCATCCATCATCAATCCATCCATCCATCCATCCATCCATCCATCCATCCATCCATCCATCATCCATCCATCCATCCATTCCATCCATCCTTCCTTCCATCCATCCATCCTTCCATCCATCCATCCATCCTTCCATCCATCCATCCTTCCATCCATCCTTCCATCCATCCATCCATCCCTCCATCCATCCATCCATCCATCTTTCTGTCTTTCTATCTCTTTATCCAAAGCTTGGGCACCTCTTTCCATTTCTAGGTTTTTCCCTTTTAATAAATGATTATTTGGAAATGAAAAGTCAGTTAAATGTATCATATTTGAGACAAACACCGCGATATTTGAAGTTAGATTAAAAACCAAATTAGGCATGTGCATAAATTTAGACTTTTTTATATGTATTTCAACACTTTTAGCGATGATTGAAGCCAAACTCTTGTGAATCCAAACATGAGAAAGAATATTAGTATCTACCAAGACCCAGAGACGCCCTGCTTTCTTCTGGGTGTTTTTGGGAAATGTCACCTCGCTCCGTTCAGAAGCTAAAGGTTGTTTTTGGCTGCTTTGGTTTCTTTAAATGAGAATGCCAGGATGCCAGACCTTTAGTGGCACTCTGGAAACTCTGGGGTAATTCACATCGGGATAAACACACAAGGGCAGCCCATTTCCTGTTTCCTGAACCAGCTCGCCAAAGACCGAGAACAAAATACCATCTTGTATTCTGGTCCTTTTTGAAAACTGTTGCATTTTTCCACTTTATAACGAAGTCTCTGTGGTCTCTGTCCTCATCTTTTCAGGACTAACGGGGAAACGCCACCGGCTTCTCCAAAACAAGTGGAAGACAAAGACAAGGACCAGTTTGATGCTGTTGATATAGCGACGGAGAAGTTGAGCCATCCGACAGCAAACAGAGCCAAGCCACCGCAGAGGAGGCCCCCCACGAACCCTGGCCCCGGAGTCCAGGTGAGGTCCAGGCTCTGAGACTCTGAGATCCGCTGCTGATGCCACGACACGTTCACACTTGTTGGTCTGGTTCGCTTTAGCTGGACCAGATGTGGTTCATTTTAGCTGGACCTGATTTGGTTCACTTTGGGGGAATTCTTCAAACACAACTTTGTCCATTTCTGGGTCAATCATTCTGGGTGTTTTTATTCGGCCATTCTCCCGGGTTCTGGAAAATCTTGCCGGCATTTGGCAACCCTGAGGAGTCGTGTGCTGAATCGTGTGCTTTGATGTGAGTGGTTAAAGGAACTTGTCATTCAAGATAACAGACAAGTGGTTTATCCAATCACAAACAAGGATTTTTTGTACAAAGCCCCGCCTTCTGAAATTCACCCGTTATGAAGCAGACTCAGACCCTTGTGAGAAGATCAGCGAACTACAAGGGTTGGCGAGAATCAAGCTAGTTGTGGCCATCCTTGCAGGTGAAAGCTAGATCCTGTCAGACCTCTGAAACTGTGCAGGGCAAAGCCTGGTTAGTACTGTGATGGGAGACCTCTGGGAATACCAGGTGCCACAGTGGGGCGGCTACGGCTGTAAAGTACCAAGCTGTGGTTGTGTCCTTAGGCAAGACACTTCACCCACATTGCTTAGAATAAGTCTGGTGTGTGTTATTTTCACCAGGATCCACTTGATTGATGGTTTTATATTCACAAAAATCAAGTATTTTTGCCACAATTGCACCAGAATCAGTCCAGTTAAAGTAAACCAGAATAAGTGCAACCTTTGAGAATGATTTCAGTGATTTTATGGGTGATGTATTTTGTGTTCTACTCTGTACTATGAGTGAATCAAAATCCAGAGTAACTTCTCCACTCACTGTGAAACAAGCTCAGACCTGCGCTGGTATTTCTTCTCTGGAATTCATTGTTGGAGGTAAATGTGCAGCTGTGGTTCTCTGTGGTTTGATGACGTCTCTCTGTGTCTTCAACAGGAGACTGAGAGCGATAAGACTGAAGCAGGATCCACTCCGACAAAGCCATCGGAACTCAAAAAGGTTTGTGAATGTGCACTTTCCCTTCAGGCCGATATGCATTACTAAGGCAAGTTTATTTGTATAGTGCAGTTCAAACTCAAAGTGCAAAAAACATGGTTGAAACAATACACGGCATTAAACTCATAAATAATCACTGTACGTTTAAAAGCGGGAAGAACTCTTTTTAACCTGGATTTGAACACTGTCAGAGCTGATAAATCTGAAATGCTGCATCCCTAACCCTAACCCATGTTTAGTTTTGACTCTGTGCACCAGTAAGAGGCCGCTGGTCAAACTGGACAAACACAAAGCCCTAGAACTCATTTAATTGTAATTTATCTTATATTTATTCTGCATCCATGTGTGTATCTTTATTGATACAGGGAACAACAAAATACATAAGCTCAATATTAGACTTAGACTTTATTGATCCACAGGGAAACGGCGTTGTCACAGTAGCTTGCATTGTAATCCACAATAAAAATAACTTTATAGTAACAATCAGAAAATAGGAATAATATTAAGATAACATTGTGAGAAGAATAATCTGGATATAGGTCCTCAGGAATATACATCTGTGAATATGTACACATTTACACTATCTGTATCTACTTGAAGCCTGGAACAGAAATCTACCTCTTTGGGAATCTCTATCACCTGGTTTTAGGGGTTTTTACCATCAAACTGCATCTAAACCATTTAGTAAGTAAGGGATAATGTATAGCCTACAGGTCATTATCGGAAAATAAGTACCGACAGGGCGAACGAAGCTTCCGCCCTGAAGGTACTTATTTTCCGATAATGACCTGTAGGCTATACATTATCCCGCTTATTATACTGCTTTGTACCAACTTAACACACAAAATAAACTTCAGATCACTTTTATGAATGCCAAAAGTTTATTTAATGACAACAAATAAAGTAGTCCCAAAAAGTTTTCCCGTTGCTCGGCAACCGCGGGCAGGCAGTGTGGCTTTGACAATTGTGGCTATGCTAGCAACAGTCAGGCTGGCAACTTCCAAACTAGAACTCTCTGGAACTGCATGAAAACTGAACAAAGAATTCTGAACATCAGCGGTGAGTGACCCATACATAAACCTAACCTAAATCCATAATTCGATCCTCTGCAAATGTGTCCGAAAATGTGCCGGTATCTTAAAATGTGCCGGTATCTACTTCCGGGTTTTTCGGGATCGCCTTTTCTCGCATTACATCAGTGTTTTTGTCATGAAAACGTAAACGGAAAATTCTGAAAACTTCCGTGCACTTGTATTAAGACTGGATATGTATAATTCACTCTCCGATAAACATTTCATTGCGTTGATTGATTGGCATTTGCGTTTATTGAGCGGCCAGAACTACTTCCGGGGTTTTTACGATCGCTTTTTGACGCAGAGAAATAGTATTTTTGTCATGAAGACAAGACCAGAAAATTCTGAAAATTTCCGTGCACGTGTGTGAAGAATGTATATGTATAAGTATTCTCCGATTAACATTTAAGTGTGTTTATTGAGCGTGGCTAGCTCAGGAGTGGCCGGAACTACTTGCGGAGTTATCCACGCATTTGAAAGACAAGCAGAGAGTGCGTTGCCATGGGCAGCGGTCATTATTGTTTTGAGAGGTCCGTTATAGAAAATAATGACCGGTAGAACGTTTTGAAATTCCATTCAAATCAATGGAGCGTTCTACTGCTGCTGTGAGGAGCCGTATAATAAAGGTCTTTAATCAATCTACATCTTAGAAAAAAAAAATATATATATATACACGTGGCTTTCTTCAAGGAGTGACCATTAAAGGGTTAAAATATGGCCTGGCATGTTATACATCATTTTTGTATTTTTTGTTTTCTTCTCAATGAATCAACACTGTATGACTGACGCATTATACACTTTATCCAGCCAACAGAAAGCACTCTGGCTTCCCCTGCCAAACCCGACCAGCCTTCCAGAAGCCCTCCTCCGGCACGTCCCGCTCCTCCCAAAGTCCTGCTGGAGGGAAAAGCATCGTGTGCGAAAGACAAGCCCAGTGTGGAGAGTCTGCAGGTGGAGGTGCAGGAGCTGAGGGCGGCGCTGGAGCTGCTGCAGACGCAATACAAGTACGTCCCGAGAGAGAGAGAGAGGAGAGAGAGAGGAGAGGAGAGGAAAGAGGAGAGATAGGAAAGAGGGGAGAGAGAGAGGAGAGATATAGGAAAGAGGGAGGGGAAAGAGAGGAGAGTGAGGAGAGAGGAGAGAGAGAGGAGAGAAGAGAGAGAGGAGAGAGAGGGGAGAGAGGAGAGAGGAGAGAGAGGAAAGAGAGGAGAGAGGAGAGAGAGAGGAGAGAGGAAAGAGAGCCAAGAAGAGAGGAGAGAGAGGAGAGAGAGGGGAGAGAGGAGAGAGGAAAGAGAGGAGAGAGAGGAAAGAGAGGAGAGAAGAGAGGAGAGAGAGAGGAGAGAGGAAAGAGAGGAGAGAAGAGAGAGAGAGGAAAAAGGAAAGAGAGGAGAGAAGAGAGGAGAGAGAGGAGAGAAGAGAGGAGAGAGAGGAGAGAAGAGAGGAGAGATAGGAAAGAGGGGAGAGAAAGGAGAGAGAGAGGAGAGATATAGGAAAGAGGGAGGGGAGAGAGAGGAGAGAGAGGAGAGAGGAGAAAGGAGAGAGGAGAGGGAGGAGAGAGAGGAAAGAGAGGAGAGAGAGATGAGAGAGAGGCGAGAGGAGGAGAGAGAGGAAAGAGGAGGAGATCTGTAAACACTGCTTTCAAACCAGCCGAAGAGTTGCTTCTGTCACATTTTTATTATTCATTTTTATTATTTTATTCAGCTTTTTTCAGACAGAAAATTAAAACAGACCCCCCCTCACTCAGCCAATCAGCTCTCAGCCTGAAGAGTCAGATAGGACTCTGATGAGTTATTCCCGAGCAGCAGATTAAAGGCGCTATACCCGTTTCTGCAGTTTGAATGTTTAGCCCTGCCCCCAACTCGCTCACAGGCTTCTCATTTCCCCTATGCTCTCCTCCCACAGAGCCATCTAGTTTTATTTGCAATCTATATGCTAACATTGAGCTAGCTATATTCACCCGGGCTTGATTTCTTCTTTGATCATTTTTTTGCTTTAGTTCCATCTTCTCTTCCTCACTGTTGTGTCGTTTGGGCTGTTTTGCTGTGTCTGCAGTTACAGCCAGAGGAGTATAGCCAATTCTGCTAACATGCTACTGTGTTTAGCAGCGCTGTAGAAGCGAGAGGACGCAGCCTCGTTCTGTGATTGGAGGAGAGCGAGCGTTACAGCCTGAATTCCTACACAGCTGAATCAATGAGGTCAAGTTTTCAATTAAATTACGGATTATAATACAACTTGTTTGTAGTAATAAGCATTTTTATGAACTCATTAGAAAATAAATTGGGTATAGCATCTTTAAAGATAGATTTTAAATTTCTCCATAGAACAAACACACACACACACACAGACAGACACAGACACAGACAGACACATACACACACACACACACACACATGCGTGACTCTGACTGAGCCACAAAGACTGAAGAAGTTGCAGGTGGAGCTGGTCTCAAAAAGCAGCTGCTTCAAACCACAGCCTTTGTCTGAGCGGCTGCTAAACTGCACAGCGAGCTACTGCACAGAGAGCTACTGTACAGAGAGCTACTGTACAGAGAGCTACTGCACAGAGAGCTACTGCACAGAGAGCTACTGCACAGAGAGCTACTGTACAGAGAGCTACTGTACAGAGAGCTACTGCACAGAGAGCTACTGCACAGAGAGCTACTGTATGGAGAGCTACTGCACTGAGAGCTACTGCACAGAAAGCTACTGTACAGAGAGCAACTGCACAGAGAGCTACTGCACAGAGAGCTACTGTACAGAGCTACTGCACAGAGAGCTACTTCAAAGACACACTTCCTTTGATAATAGAGCCTATCTTAAATATAATAAACACATCTATACTATGTGGCTATGTCCCGATCTCGAACCTTACTTTCATATCTAAAATCCTGGAAAAGCTTATAGCTGAACAGCTTTGCTGCCACCTGCAGGAAAATAATATGTTTGAAGTCTTCAGGATTCAGAGCTCGTGATAGCACTGAAACGGCTCTAGTGAAAGTCGCAAATGACTTAAGTGTCAGTCCTACTGGATCTTAGAGCTACATTTGACACAATAGACCACAGCATTCTACTGCGGAGGCTAGAATGTGATATAGGTCTCACCCTTGGCTGGTTTAAATCCTATTCATCGGATCGGTAGCACTTTGTCAATGTGAATCAAAACTAGTCACCCTACTCCAGAGTGGAATTCGGTGTGCCCCAGGGATCGGTACTCGGACCAATTCTTTTCACTATCTTTTCACTACCGTTAGGAAACATCATTAAAAAGCATGGAATTAACTTCCACTGCGGCAGACACTGCAGATGATACACAACTTTTAATGTCGATGAAACCAAATAAGACATACTGTATCAGCTGAAAAGACTCAGTGCCTGCATAAAAGACCTTAAAACATGGATGACTCTTAACTTCCTACTGCTTAATCCGGAGAAGACAGAAGTGATCCTACTCGGTCCAAAGAGCCTGCGTGACTCCCTCGCCGACCAGATAATCACTCGCGATAATGTCAGTATTGTACCCAGCAACAAGTGGCAAGAGCTCTGGTGTGTGTCGTCTGGTGCACACTGGGGTAGTCTTGCACAGTTTTTCCTATGTGGTTTTACTGCAAATGGCAAATAAATGAATCTGAATCTGAACACTGTGAGGAATCTTGGAGTCGTTTTCACCAAAAATATTCTCCTTTAAGGCTTATATAAGCCAAGCAACTAAAACGGCGTACTTCCACTTGCGGAACGTCGCTAAAATCAAGAATATCCTAAAAGTGACACAAAAAAACAGATCCACGGTTTTGTCACCTCAAGGCTTGACTACTGTAGCGCCCCCTGCTGGCGCTTGCCCTAAAAATTCTTTGAAGAGCTTCTAGCTCGTTCAAAATACAGCAGCTATGATACGGTTACCAAAAGGAGGGAGCATATGACCCCGGTGTTAAAATCACTCCACTGGCTTCCGGTGGAGTACAGAATAACGTTTAAAATCCTTCTTTTAACATCCAAAGCCATAAATGACTTGGCTCCTTCTTATCTTCAAGACAATTTAGTGTCATATTAACCAAACCAAGCATTGCGCTCGCAAAACGTCAGAGATCCGCTGGGTCCTAAAGAGTCAAAACACAGACGTCTGCTGGGTCCTAAGGTTCCATAAATAATCACTTATTCTTTTAAATCCTTCTTTTAACATACAAAGCCATAAATGGCTTGGCTCCTTCTTATCTTCAAGACATGTTAGTGTCATATCAACCAAGTCGAGCGTCGCGCTCACAAAACGCCAGACGTCTGGTGGTTCCTAAGGTCTCAAAAATCAGAGTCGGCTGCAGAGCATTTAGCTACCAAGCTCCTTTACAGTGGAATCAGCTTCATCCACGTTAACGCAGCAGACACGGTCTCCCCATTTAAGGACAGGCTTAAAACACTCTTCTTAAGTTTAGCATTTGGTTAGGTTATTTGTCCGGTCAGGTTTCGTCCGGTCTTGGAGTCTGTGTATATGGGACCCGGTCCGCTTTACCTTCCTACTTTACCTGTTTAGCATTATTAGGATTTTGACTGTAGTCTGCTCATTGCGGGACCTCTGAACCTGGCCTCCTCCCCCCTCCATCTACACCTGCGGATTGCCCTGCCCGACCTGCCTGGAGCTGCTTCAGTCCTGCACCGGCCCTCAGTCCTCGTTCTACTGTCTGAGTCCTCGTTCTACAGTCTGAGTCCTCGTTCTACAGTCTGAGTCCTGGATCTACAGCTTCAGTCCTCGTTCTACAGTCTGAGTCCTGGGTTTTAGAGTTTTTCCTCTGATGCAGGAGTCTGTTAGTGTTAATGTCTAACAAGACGGACTGTGATGATCCAGGACACTTTAACATTCTACATGTATGACATTTATCAACATGTATGACATTCTACAACATGTCTGACATTTATCAATATGTATGACATTTATCAACATGTATGACATTCTACAACATGTATGACATTTATCTACGTAGTATGACATTTTACAACATCTATGACATTTTTCAACATGTATGACATTTATCAACATGTATGGACATTGATCAACATGTATGACATTCTACAACATGTATGACATTTATCAACATCTATGACATTTATCAACATGTCTGACATTTATCAACATGTATGACATTTATCAACATGTCTGACATTTATCAACATGTATGACATTTATCAACATGTATGACATTCTACAACATGTATGACATTTATCAACATGTATGACATTTATCTACGTAGTATGACATTTATCAACATGTATGACATTCTACAACATGTATGACATTTATCTACGTAGTATGACATTTTACAACATCTATGACATTTTTCAACATGTATGACATTCTACAACATGTATGACATTTATCAACATGTATGACATTTATCAACATGTATGACATTTATCTACGTAGTATGACATTTATCAACATGTATGACATTCTACAACATGTATGACATTTATCAACATGTATGACATTTATCTACGTAGTATGACATTTTACAACATCTATGACATTTTTCAACATGTATGACATTGATCAACATGTATGACATTCTACAACATGTATGATATTTATCAACATGTATGACATTTATCAACATGTGAGACATTAATCAACATGTATGACATTAATCAACATGTATGACATTCTACAACATGTCTGACATTTATCAATATGTATGACATTTATCAACATGTATGACATTTATCAACATGTATGACATTTATGAACATGTATGACATTTATCTACGTAGTATGACATTCTACAACATGTATGACATTTATCAACATGTATGACATTTATCTACGTAGTATGACATTTTACAACATCTATGACATTTTTCAACATGTACGACATTGATCAACATGTATGACATTCTACAACATGTATGACATTTATCAACATGTATGACATTTATCAACATGTATGACATTTATCTACGTAGTATGACATTTATCAACATGTATGACATTCTACAACATGTATGACATTTATCAACATGTATGACATTTATCTACGTAGTATGACATTTTACAACATCTATGACATTTTTCAACATGTATGACATTGATCAACATGTATGACATTCTACAACATGTATGATATTTATCAACATGTATGACATTTATCAACATGTGAGACATTAATCAACATGTATGACATTAATCAACATGTATGACATTCTACAACATGTCTGACATTTATCAACATGTATGACATTTATCAACATGTATGACATTTATGAACATGTATGACATTTATCTACGTAGTATGACATTCTACAACATGTATGACATTTATCAACATGTATGACATTTATCTACGTAGTATGACATTTTACAACATCTATGACATTTTTCAACATGTACGACATTGATCAACATGTATGACATTCTACAACATGTATGATATTTATCAACATGTATGACATTTATCAACATGTGAGACATTAATCAACATGTATGACATTAATCAACATGTATGACATTAATCAACATGTATGACATTCTACAACATGTCAGACATTTATCAACATGTATGACATTCTACAACATGTATGACATTTATCAACATGTATGACATCTATCTACGTAGTATGACATTTATCAACATGTATGACATTTATCTACGTAGTATGACATTTATCAACATGTATGACATTTATCAACATGCATGACATTTATCAACATGTATGACATTTATCAACATGTATGACATTTATCTACGTAGTATGACATTTTACAACATCTATGACATTTTTCAACATGTATGACATTTATCAACATGTATGACATTCTACAACATGTATGATATTTATCAACATGTATGACATTTATCAACATGTGAGACATTAATCAACATGTATGACATTAATCAACATGTATGACATGTATCTACACGTATGACATGT